GAGTTCAGTACAGGAAAACTGTTACAGGTGTGTATTCTCCTTCGGAGTTATGCTGACTTTAGGATTATATCTTGGGCGTTTTCAGCACTCTGCCTCCTGGCTGCAAAAGTGTTGCTTTGGGAGACTTTTCTGCTAGCATAGCATGCCCTTAGTTGAGTGGGCTAACCTGAGTCTTTCATTCTCTCTTCAAAGCTTCTAAGGCAATTAGGAAAGCTTGTCACCTCCAATAATCCTTGTAATTACAACTGCCTCCATATATTTCAAGTGCCAAAGCTACTGCCTAAGCTAAGGTTTCCCTTCAACTTCTGATGCAGGACAGGGCAAATTTCCCCAAGTGACAGGGAGACCAAGCCCTGTACCGAGAGAAGAGGGACCTTTGGCAGAGAGTGTAGAAAGAATTCAATACACATGCCAAAGTTGGAGTCAAAAAGAAAGTTTATTAGAAAAGGGATAACACTCCACAGCGTGGTCTCTTCTCAGCAGCAGAGAGTGAGGGGGACCGCGAGAAAGACAGTGAGAGAGACAGAGTAAAGGCTCTGAGAGGGACCCTGAGTGTTCAGGGAATTCAGTTCATATGTCATTCTTTAGTTCCCATTTCCTTTGATACGATGAGGACATACAGTGAGGAAGGGGAAGAGTATGTAGAGTGAAAAGGTAAGAATATGTAGAATGAAAGGCCTGCTGGCAGTTTCCAGCCTTTAATCCTCAGGTTCCCCAAGGTTTTAGCCATAGGGAATGATTCTTGGTCTCTAGTTCCACCACCCCCTCCCCGTCCCGGCTGTCCCCCCATCCCGGACACACACACACACACACACACACACACACACACACACACACATACACACACAGGTGTGGAGAGTGGGTTGTTAGCAACTCCAGCAAAAATTTGTCCTTCTGGCCTGGATGCAGGGTTGCTCAGCACATTGCAGTCTCTGAATGTGGCTTAACATTTTAATTCTCTTGCTTCCTCTCTGCATTAATTCCAACAGCACCAGAGGTAAGATCTGGTGCTTCAGAACACTAGAGGTATCACCAGCACCCTCACCAACAGTGAGGAGAGGCCTCTGTTCCCTTCTGAACAGTAGGCAATCTAGTTCTCACTTCTCACCCTATTATTTGTCTTCTAGTGCTACTTCTTGCTAGCTGCCTTAGCTTGAATCCCCATAAAAGCAGAGCCTGAGCCTAGAACTTGGATGGTTTATTTGATGAGTCCAGGAAATGAGAGAGGAATGAGGAGGACAACACAGGGTAGAGGGAAAATTCAACTGTGTTTTGACTTCTGTCCCTTACTGGTTGGAGGTTGCCCCAGAAGGCATTAATTAACTCTTCTGCACACCTAGGCTATGCCTGTGGGTTGAGAGAGCTCCTGAAGCAGAAAGCAGATACTTGAAAAGAGGCACCAGTAGTGTATACAGCCATCCACCACAGCTGCGGTAAAATCAGAGGTGGCCTGATCAGATGTAGCTAGAAATTCCAAAGTATCTGGTACACTTTCCTCACCTTCTAGGGGACAATCTGTGATGATGCCAAAGGCCAAGCACCTTCTGCTCCCTGGGACTCATGTACCTGTTTCTTGTGGAACTTTGTTCATTCTAGAAATATTTGGAGAGGGCCTAGTAAGTGTTAAGCGCTTTCCTACACTGAGATACAGGAGAGAAAAGAATATAAAGCCCTCTGGAGCTTACATTCTAGTGTGTGTGTCGGGGGGTGGGGGGGTGACAATAAATAAAATACATACAGCATGTCAAATCGTGACAAATGCTAGGAAAAAAAACAGGAAAGGAGGGTAAGTTGTGCTGGTTTGTTGGAGGCGGGGAGAAGTCATGCTCTTTTAAATAAAGTCATCAGGGAAAACTTCACTGAAAAGGTGATATTTAAGCAGACATCTGAAGGAAGTGAGAGAAAAATCAGCAAGACACTGAGAAAGAGCAACTGTGAGATATCAGAAGAGTGTGGTGCCCCAGAAGCCAAGTGAAGACAGTGTTTCAAGGAGAAAGAGGGGTCAACTGCATAAAATGCTGCCAATGGGCCAAGAGGATAGAAAATTGGCCAAAGGACTTAATATTGGAGGTTGATGGCATCCTTGACAAGAGCAGGCTGCAGAGAGTGGGGGTTGAGAAGTCCAAAGTTGAGGAGGATTAAGAGAAAAGAAGGAGAGGAGGAATTGAAGACAGTGAAGATAAGCAGCTTTTTGGAGTTTAGTTATAAAGGGAAGCAGAGAAGTGAGGCAGTAGCTAGAAGCTAACGTAGGGTCAAGAAAAATTTTTCCAAGATGGGAGATCTACCTACTAGGATCTCTACTCTCATTTCCTTTCATCTTTCCAATTACTGCAGACAAATCCACAGCTTTTTTGACCTCCCTCCTCAAGCCTAAAAATATTTTTGCAAAGGTCTGTTTCCCAGAGGGTTCTGAGCTGTAGGCAGTGAAAGCCACAGAGTCCTTTGTTCCTGCTTTCTGCTCTGACACATCTTTCCCAGGGGCAATGAGCTTGGTGCCACCTCAGTCAGGGGGTGATATTTCAGAGCAGAAAGAACAAAGTCAGATATCTCAAAATATTTCATCCTGCCCCATTTAATTTGGGCTCTCTATCCATTTGGATGCCCCTCCCTAAACATGGGGCTCCCTGCCTGCCTGCCTGCCTGCTGCTGGTCTGACAGGCAGGTGCTTTTTATTACTCTAGAACTAGTTGTTTGCAAGTACTCTGGCCAAAACAATAGTCCCTCAACTTTAGTCATTCTTGCGTCATCTTTATGATTTTTGCTTTTTCCTCATGTCACATAGTTTTACTTCATGTTTATATGTAAAAGACTTTCCTCCTTTGAAATATTTTTTTGTGGCAAAACTAACATAACATAAAATGATTATACTATGTACAGTTCAGTGGGTTTTAGAACATTCACAGTGTTACGCAATCACTACAGCTCCAAAAACTTCTTCAACCCAAAAGGAAATTTGGCACCTGTTAAACAGTCACCCTTTTCTCCCTGCTTCCTCCAGCTCTTAGTCACCCCCAATTTGCTTTCTGTCTCTGTGGATTCACCTATTCTGGATAGTCTCCATAAACAGAATCATACAATAGGTGGTTGTATTCACTTTAATATAGTTTTTCACTTTAATATAGTTTCTCTATTAGTACCTTCTTTCATTTTAATATAGTTTCTCTATTAGTACCTTCTTTGATTGTTTTGCTAGTGTATTATTTTGATTCTTCTCATTTCTTTTTCTGTATATTTCATTTTGTTATCTTGAAAGAAAATCTCATTTCACAATTATAACTATTTTAAATGTTTTTAATATATTAATATAAATAAAAATAAAAAATTTTTGAACGCTGTTCAAAAGAAATGTTAAGCTTAGTGTCTTATGACATGTTTTGTATCATCTTGCTAATAAATAAGGCCATGTTTTTACACTGTGGACCCTGAGAATGACGTACCTGTTAAGGACTCCTGGTAGTTAATTGGGGCTCAAACCCATAAACCTCTAGCAGTCCTAGCAAGGGGCCTCTCTGCACTTCGGGAAACAGCTACACTGAACTCTTTGCCTCCTGCTCCGTGTTCGTGCCATTTGGACTCACCCTTATAAAGAAACTCCTAGACTTGTAAATCAACCAATGGGCTGGAACACTTGAGCTGAGTTGAGACACGGGCCTCTGTGCTTTAGCTGTCTCATAGCCATGCTGTTTCATGATTGAGCTGTTTACACTGAATAAAGACTCCCCCTTCACTGCACCCCAAATTGAGGACTCCTGTTGGTACTTAACTGGTGCCGGCGACATTCGACCTTCAGTTGACAATACACAGCAGTGGTTTATTAATTTCTAATCTACTCCTGAAAGCAAGTTAGGCTGACGCAGGACACCCGCTTCTTTCTGTTTTCACATGGCTCTAGACTCTGGTGGATGACATAAAGGCTTGTCTACACTCCAGGGGAAAGACTGCAGATTGCAAGGACCAGTGCCATGCATCACCTTTGTCGTGCAGCCGCATAACTCACAAGTACAACACACTCCCCACAGCACCTGATATACCTTGCTGTGTGTGTTGGGGGAGTATCACTCTCCCCACCGTGTCCTAAGAGAGAACACCAATCAGACATTGATAGAACACAGGAAACCAGGATTTTTGATGTGAAATACTCCAAATTCTTTTTTCATTACTATTCATTATTATTATTTATGAATACAGCACCTGGTCTTCCTAGGTGGTCTCCCATCCAAGTACTAACCAGGCCCAACCCTGCTTAGCTTCTGAGATCAGACATGGGCTTGTTCAAGGTGGCATGGTCATAGACCATGGGCCATGGCTTCACTGGGGCGGAACCCAGGACCTTCTGTGTGTAAAGCATAAGTGCTAACCGCTGCACTATGGAACCACGTCCAATACTCCAAATTCTTAAGTGTTGGTAACTAACGCAGAATTTTAAAATAGCATGGGGTGGGCAAATCCTATCTGTGTACAGGATTTTCCCTGGAGAGTACTTGTTTATACTGGGTGGAACAGTTCCTCTCATTCCATGAAGAAAAGGAAGCCTGAATCGGAGAAGAGACTCACCAAAAGCCCAACAGCCAGGAGGGGGAGGCAGAGTCCAAGTTTCCAGAAAGCTTCTTTAGGAGAACAGTTTCCTGGTCGTAAAATACACTTACTCTGGACTCATGCTAAAAGCCCTCCCGCACGCGCCTGGAGGCCGTTTAGGGCCAAATGTAAGGTCCCCGACCCCGCCCAGCTCGCTTCACTGCAACTTCCATCCCTGAGCGTCCAAGGTTTCGCTGCCTCCCGGACTTCGCCCTGTGTCCCTTGGACCGAGAATGGCACTGCCTGCTGCCAAGCCTGGTTCTCCACGTTCTCAGCGGGTCGCACACAGCCCTCCTCCACTGGGGGCCGGCTGAGCCACCCGTCCACGCCGCACCGCATCGGCGGAGGAGAACCATCCCCGCCCGCCCCTGCCCCAGGGCCCGGCAGGGAGGGAGGAGAGCGTGCGCCGCAAGGGCTTTATTGCGTCACCGCGACTCGAGTGCTCCCAGCTCCAGCATGAGCACGCCGCCCGCGCTGTCGCGCCTGCGCAGTTTCTTCTGCCAGGGGCGGGCCGCTGCCGTGGAGCTAGCCTCGCCATTTAGCTTTTGCTCCAGCAGGTGCATGCGCGCTGTTGTCTCGGTCAGCATGTCCATGAGCAACTCTTGCTGCAGCTTCAGGTAGTTGTTCTCCTCTAGCAGCACCTGGCTCTTGACGCGCCGCATCTGCGCCTTCCAGCCCGAGATGGTTGGCGAGGGCAGCGGCGGCTTTGACCGCCCGGGCGGGCCCTCATTGGCCCAGCGGCCGCCGCGAAACACGAAGGCCTGGTCACTAAGGCGTGTGCGCGGCGCGCCGTAGCTGAGGCCCAGCTCGGCCTGGCGCGTGCAGTGGTCCAGCAGGTAGAAGGTGGACATGGAGGAGAGGCGGCGCAGCGGCGGGCGCCGCGGCGAAAATCGCCGCGAGAAGTGGTCAGCCCAGAGCTGCCGTAGCTGTTCCCACAGGCGGCTGGCGTGGCCCGAGGCCAGGTACCCGAAGGCCTCCAGGGCGACGGCCGGGTGGGCCCCGGCAGGCGCCCAGGTGGCAGGAGCGGAGCCGCGAGGTCGTGGGAGATAGGGGCTGCGCCCTTGCCTCGGGACCCCTGGTGTCCTGAATGGTGAAGGCGAGCCAGGGGCACTGCTAGGGAGCAAGGGACACCCGGTGAACAAGTCTTTTCGCTGCCGGCTGCCCCTCAAACTGCGACGCCCTGTGGACAGGGCTTGGCCGCTGAGGATCCCATCCCTACACACTCGCACTAGCAGCAGTCTTACAAAACTACCTTCCCCCAAAGACCACTCTGGGTCAGGCCCTGGGTCAGAGATGCCGATGAAGGACCTGACCCCTGCTCTCTGAGCGCTGGGCGGCTGCGGGGAGGGCTTGTAAGGGAGAAGGACATGATAGCAGAGACAGGTACTTCTAAGACGTGCAGGACTTGCCCGGTGGATTGGAGTGGATAAGAGAGTCTCTAGGGAGAGTGAAGAGCTAGGCAAGGCTTACATGTTCCAGAGGTGAGGAAGAACTTAGGGTGAGTATGGTGTACGTTACTTGGCTGGGGGTAGCAGAAGAGGAGGCTGGACAAGGGGAGGAGGGCACAGACTTCCTTCTGTGGGCAAGAGGGCACTGCTGAAGGATTACAAAACCAGGGCTGGATTTGGATTCTGAAAAGTTTGGTAGGATGTCTGGCATAACCAGCTGCGTGACTGCCTTCATAATTCGGTTATTTTGCAACCTCCAACTGGCACCTGCTCTATCCCAGGCCCTGATCAGGGCAGGGAGTCTCAGCACAGCCTGTACCTGCCCTCAAGATGATGCTGGTGCTGGTCCAGCTGGGGAGCCAGATGTGTGTGTAGATAGTTCACAGTCCAGTGTGCTCAGTGACATCCTAGGACACGTGCCATGGACTAAGACCTATGCTTAGGGCTCAAGGTAACAGGGCTCATGCAGACTATACATGACTTTTGTTTCAAGCAGACTTCATCTTCAAGGAAGCTAAAGTCCAGATAACAGACAGGTCCCATCCTCCCTCTCTGTTCCCACCCCTTAAGTGCTGATTCTGTCTTGTGAGAATAGGACTCTGTGTTCTCTTAAAGTTTTCTCTCCATGAAGGGTGAAAAAGAAAAGAACCTTGGGCAGGGTTCCCTCTGTTATACCTTCATCAATTCAACACTCGCTTATTCAGCTGAATAGAGGCTCGGTGCTGTTATCCATTAGCTGTGACTCAGGGACATGTCTTTGGAAGCCCACAGAGGGCCCAAGAGATGCAGCCAGCCCCACCCTGAAGGTTGCACCTTCCCAGAGGACCCTTCCCCAAGAATCCTTATGGCTTGTTTTACCTCACCTGGAGGATGTGTTGAAGGTGCCGAGCTTCTGTCCCAGGCCTGGCCCCATCTCTGAGCCACTCAGCTAATATCCACCCACTATGACTCACAATGCCTCCAGGACAGATCAGCCCAGAACAGAAGGGGAGCTGACTGCCAAGGCATAAAACAGATCCCAGGCTCTCCCCTGTATTCATTCAGTGCATTTATTGAGTGCCTACTGTGTTCTAGGTACTGTTCTAGGAATGTGTTGAACCTATTCCCTCATCAGGCTCTCATTCTTGGGGCGGGGGGGGGGGCAGTCATAAGCAGAGGCCAAGATAGGAATTTGTTCTAAAGGAGTGAACAAGATAGTCCTGCGTGAAGGCACTGCTGATATCATGGGTCAGATTCCTCAGAAGCAGAGCCTGAAGTGAAACTTCTTGTTTGAGTGGTGTATTGGAGAAGTGCTCTTGGAAGAAGGGAATGAGGGAAGCAGGACGGGGCAGGGAAAAGAGCTAAAGCTAAGCATGAGTGTGGCCTCAGGTGGAGACCACAGAGTTTGGCCTCCCTACCACCAGGAACTCAAGCCTCTTGTACCTGTCCCCTTCCCCCACTCATTTCAGTCATTGGCAGGGGCAGCTGTGAGCTGTCAACCAACACTTAAGGCACCTATAGTGTGGGTGCACCCCTAGTAAAAGAGATCTGTGAGGCACCAATATCATAAATGAGGGAGAGAATACACATAAATGTAATAACTAGACGAAAAAGAATTTGATAAATGCAATGAAGAAAATAGAGAAATGAAGTGACTAGGACGGAGCAAGGGGTAAGATCCAATTAAGATGTACTCACTGAAGGCACTTGACATTCATGCTAAGACACAAGTGAGGAGACCCCAGCTACATGAAGATTGGGTGTTAGAGGCAGGAAGGAGTTTGTTTGAAGGACAAGCGTCATGTATTGAAGGTTCATGAAGGAAATGGCGTCAACCCTGCCTGCCAAGCACACCCGGTTGACTGCCATTGCCTCTCTTTGGTTTTAGGACCCCAAGAGCTTCTACTAGGGGCTTCCTGCATGGCCTTTCATGGGGTAAGACCCAGCTAGAGGAACACTCTCACCTGGGGTGGAGCCAAGTGGTCGCGCCACCTCCTGAAAAACTTAGTTTCATTAAGTTATAATTGACAACTACATATTTTTATAATGTACAATTTGATATGTTCTGATAAAGTATGAAATCACCAAAATCAAAATGATGAAGGTATCCATTATCTTCAGAAGTTTCTCCTGTTCCCATCGTTATAGAATCATCTGCATTTTCTAGAATTGTATGTAAATGCAATTATTTAGTATGTACTTTTTTTTTTGCACTAGCTTCTCACAGCATAATTATTTTGAGATTCGTTCCTTTTATCAGTGAGTGGTATTACATTGTCTGGAATTAGTTTTTCCATCTACCCGTTGATGGCTATTAGAGTTGTTTCCAGTTTGGGGGCTGTTGCAAATCCAGCTGCCATGAACACCTGTGTACAAGTCTTTGCGTGCCCACGTGCTTTCCTTTCTCTTGAATGAATACCCAGGAGTGAAATGGCTGGATCATGTGGTAGGTATATGTTTACCTTTTTTTTTTTTTTTTTAATGTTTACCTCTTTATGAAGCTACCAAACTTCCCAGAATGGTTGTACTACATCCCCACCAGCACTGAGAGAGTTTCTGTTCCTCCACATACTTGCCCACACTTTGTATGTGCCATGGGCATCAGACCTATGCTTAGGGCTCGAGGTAACAGGATTCGTGCAGACTACACATGACTTTTGTCCCAAGCAGACTACATCTTCAAGGAAGCTAAAGTCCAGATAACAGACAGGTCCCTCTCCACCCCTACCCCTATGGTAACCCTTTTTAATTTTAGTTATTCTAGTAGGTTGTCTAAATTGTGATTTTAATTTCATTTCTCACAGCTGATGATGTTGGTTATCTTTTCATGTGTCATTTGTTACCCTCAGTGATGTTTTTCAAGTCTTTTGCCCTTTTTTCCCCACTGGATTGTTTATCTTATTGGATATAAGGAGTTCTTTCATGCTGTATTTGTCGGATGTTTTGCAAATGGTTTCTCCCAGTCTGCGGCTTACCTTTTAAAGAACAAGTTTTTAATTTTGATAAAGTCCAATTTATTAGTTTTTCTTTTGTAGTTTGTGCTTTCGGTGTCATATTTAAGACTCTTTGCCAAACCTAAAATCACTAAGATTTTCTCCTCTGTTTTCTTCTAGAAGTTTTCTGGTTTTAGCTTTACATTTTGGTCTGTGTTCCGTTTGAGGTAATTTTTGTTTACAGTGTGAGGTAAGTGTCGGAGCCAGCCGAGGAAGTAATTGAGGGTACCTGAAAGGGGGAGCAGGGACTGAGGAAAAGAAAGAAGACAGACAGAACTGCAGGAGGGAGCACAGATACAAGCTGTGTCTGTGTCCCCGAGTTTATTTAGAACACACTACTTATAGCATCGCAATGAGAAAACAGCAGTCAAGACCCAAGGTCAGCCAAATTACTCATCCTGCAAAACAATGAAGTTCTCACAACTCCCTTCTTGGAAAACACTGAGTGTTTAAAATAGTTTAGTGCCACTTATCTCAAAGCTCGCCAAGTTAGCTCAGCTCCCAACAGGTAAGAGTCGATTTTTTTCATATAGATATCAAGTTGACCCAGTGCCATTTATAAAAAGACTAGCTTTCCTCCATTTGCAGCTGTGTCTTTTTTGTTCATCAAGTGACTGTGAATCCTCCTGGGCTCTCCATCTCTACCATCGATCTCTATTCTATTTTGCACCAGTACCATATTTTCTTAATTATTGTGGCTTACAGTAAGTGTTGGTAGTTGGTAATGTAAACCTTCCAACAATATTTTTTTTAAGATTGCTTTGGTTTTCTAGGTCCTTCAAATTTCTATATAATTTCAATTTCATATAATTGAATTTCCATGCTAATTTTAGAATTAGCATGTCAGTTTCCACAAATAAACCCTCAGCTCCCTCTTCCTATCATCAGGACACTTGAGAGCTCAAATCAGTCCTCAGAAGGTTGTCTGATGGACATGGAATCAGAGCCTAGGAATATTTTAACCAAGTCAGTGATTCATTATCACCTTCATTCCCCCCAAATTGTGTCTGTGTTATTAAAGCTAATTTTCATTAACAATTGCTATATTTCAGGCAAGTCATGGCATACAGCATCTTTCAACTTCCCTCATTTCCATGGACTACAAAAAAGGAAAGGCTACAAAGCCCAAGGAAGTCTTTATTTGATTATTTGAACAGGAAAAGTTTAGAGAGCTGAGGAACAATTTCTATTTAACATGTTAACTCCTTTCACAAGCAGAACTTGATTTTGAGGGAGTTTAATAAAAACTGCAGAATTTAAAGACCTACAATAAAAAAAAAAACAATGGTTCCTGGCTCCTTTAAGGGACTCTATCTCGATGTTGTCACCAAAAAGACCAGATTTAGAGCCCATGAGAAAAGGAGTGCCAGGTCCCAAGAGGTCTGAGTTTAAGGACATGGAGTTCATTCTGATGGCACAGAGGAAAGAAGAAGAGGATCTAAATGAATTTTCATTTCCCCACACCACAGGCAAATGCCAGTCACTGTGGATGTCGGTGAATCCCTTCTCTTGGCAACCAAGAGGACTACTTCCAAAACCGAGGAAGCAAAATCTGGCGATTTCAGTCCAGCTTGTAAGATACTCTCTTAGTGACATTTGCCCTTTCCTGAAACAAGCCAGGCGTTCTCTGTGCTAATATAGCTTTATTTAAAAAATCTGCACTTGTATAAAACTTGATAAAAATAGTAAATGGTACAGAACACAAGTTATAAGAAAATGCACACACTTTACCAAGCATCTCCATTTTCTATAGAGTTGGTTTTACACTCCCTTTTCTGCAAGGTGCCTGTCTAGGAAGAGCAGATTTAGCAGGAAAGGATCCCTGCCCTTCCCCTAGGCTTTTTCTTCTTTAGCTTCTCTTGGGCTGGGTGGTGACATCAGTAGGTGGCACCACGGTGGTAGTCTAGGGATTCACTGCTCCCTTTCTTGCCTAGTGTTGTTCTTCACCCATTGTGCCTTAAAATTAGTTCCATGCAGTATTGGAATCTGCAATACTCTGGAAAAAAAGTTTAAATTTTCTATTTTAGTTAAAAATCTGAAAAAAAAAATTAGAAAAAGTGACGATGTTTTATCTGCTCCAGATAACCACCTTTAGGAAGCACCACAGAACCTGAGCGTCTGTACCTGCCTTGGTCTGAGTGGCAGAGACTGAGAGGGGAAGGCAAGCAGGCAGGCCTGGGAGCACCGAGCTCCTCTGAATGGAAGAGTTCAAAGTCATCTGAAGAGGGAACAGGGGAATGAGAATGTGCAGCATGGCACAGCACATAGCATGTGTCAACTGAACTTCAGAACACTTGCCTTGGGGCGTTGGGACCAGATCATAGGTCAAACGGCACTTATTTTCAGCAGAAAACATTTTTTGTTGTCCTGTTTAAGAGTTAATTTGTATATTTTCGTGTTAAGGTGATTTATAAATTTATTACGGTTTTATGTTTGCATGAGAGATATAAATAAATGAATGTATAGTGGTAATGTTTATAGGCATTTAAATAAGAGTATGATATGGGTTAATGTTGTGATTAGCCCATGTATAGTTTGTCACAAATAATTCCTTTTTACACAGGTACTTGTTATCATTTAAAAGAAAGTCCGAGGCTTTCTGCTGAAAACAATCATTTTCTGGGCTTTTAACTTCCAAAATAGACTCCAAACAATACTGATACAATACTTTAAATGACCATCTATATTTCAATTTTTTCAGATTACTAATAATGTCCTTTATAGCATTTTTGTCCCTCTGGTACAAGATCCCTTTTTGGGACAGGTGTTGCTTAAGTATTGACAAGGAGCTTTCTCTATTGTGGGCAGACATTTTACGACCATGTAAATATCCTGTTCCTCATCAAAATTTCCCCTTAGATTTAGCATTCATTGGTGATTATTGCCTGATTCAGTCTTTACTGTTATGGTTGCCAAATGATGCTTTTCCAGCGCTAGCACT